TGGCTGAGAGGTTAAATTCCAGCGTGACAATATATCAAAGCACACTGACAACATTACATAAGACGTTTATCAGGAACCATCAGGAGAGGAAAGAGAAACCTGGCAAACAAACAAACCCCAGAAGGAGCTACCTACAAAAACAAAGAATTATTCAGTCACTTCCATGATTTCAATAATGCGAGTTTAACTTTTAATTTTTAATGAGTTAACAATGAGTTAAGAGGCAACCAATGCCTCTTAACTCATTGTTAACTCATTGACTGGCAGCCATTTTCAGAACAGAGTTCCATACTGCCAGAGTTTTTTGAGCATTTTAACTGATTTTTCTAGAGCCACAGAATAGTTTGTGCTATGACTATGTAAACACCGAACACACCAAAAGAAAGAGTAGACTCTCTTCTTTCATCAGGAAAAAAAATGTGTTTCTACCTTATTCCGTTCTTCCTGGACTTGCGTCTCACCGGCGACATGTTCTCTCATAGAACCGTTCCCTTTTTCTTATTTGCCTACAGTCTATGCTCATCTCCCATCAAAAGTGGCACTGCCCCCTAGAGGCTCAATTTGTTACTACATACTCTGTCTAGAAGCCCATATTTACGGACAAGCTTTAGCAGATCGTCCCCCAGACACTCTCGTTAAAAAACATAAAAGACCTCTATAGACGTCTTTGGCAGCCAATGAGTTAAAAGATATCAATACTATGTATTGATGTACTCAATACCAATGAGTTACCCAGGAGCCTCCGGGGCTCTTTAGGATGCGGATTAGCACCATCTGCCCGCTGAAACCTCTATTCTCTAGTTAGAAAAATGGACTCAACTGAGGAAATCAGCGTTTTTATGGCCAATTTATCCACTAATTTAAAATCCATATTATCTCACAGAGCAGCGAGTTCCAGACATAAACGGCTCCCCAATGTATTCGTTTTAAAGTTTAGTGTAGTGCAAAGTGCGCGTTTGCCGTTTATATCCGCCCGGAGGCCTGGAGCTAGTTTGGTGGACAGAATCTGTCTGTTCTGATGTTTTTCTCTCTGCTAAAACAGTGTTAACATCTGTGCTTTAGCTCTGTTATCACAGGCTGTTCACCATCAGAACCTCCTCCCTCAGAACAGTTTCAGTTTGCTTCTCACTGCTTGATTTGAGTCACTTAAAAGGGACGTATCATGCAAAACCAAGTTTTTAATCATGTGATTGTGTACATTTGGGGCTGTGGAGGGCCTATCAGCAGGAAAAGTGTGAAAAAAATGACTGGGTCATGTTTTTGTGGGCGGCCTCAGTCTGAATCCAGGAGATAAATCAGGAGGTTTCAGGAGTGGGTAGTTTCTGACCTCATTAGCTCTAGCTCATTATAATATTATTATTATTATAATATTAATATTATTATATATTATCTAGCTCATTATAATATTCCAGCCTTTCACCTGCATGTTGCCCCCCCTCCTCAGCTCACTCCCCTATCTGTGGAGACGTCCTGGTAGCGTGAGCGTTAGCATGGTAGCGTTAGCGTGGTAGCATTAGCGTGGTAGCGTTAGCCTGGTGGCGTTAGCGTGGTAGCGTTAGGATGGTAGAAGTTAGCATG